GGTTCAGTCGAAAATAAATTATCTTCTTGTTAGGGAATTAACCTGCCGCCTACGTGAACTGTCCGTAGCTGAATAGGGTCGGCCTACGCTACTGTATTTTAATGTCGGTCATAACTGTGGTACTAATATTTTCTGAGGTTGTACGTGGTGTAAAGAGTTAGAGAAACACTGCTGTACACAATGTTGTCCAGATCTTACTTGTATATAATCGCTATATGTTTATGTTTGCATATATTTGTTTAGCTAATACGTGTGTGTGTGTAAATGTATCTTGTAAGTGAGTAAATTAACCACTTTGGGAACTTCTGAATACCCTTGCTTTAACCATCATTTTTCATATTAAATGGAATTTAATCATTAATTGAATTACCAAAAGGTGGAGGTGACTGATACCTCAATCGTGTACCTAATCATTTAATTTTTGACGCCAGTGTTTTAACCTTTCAAAGCTCTTGCTATTTATATTTCAGCTATAAGAGATCACCTGACTCCGACTGGGTAAACCAGGAAACATCCAGAGGACACAGCACTGGTTCGTTTCCAACCCCTCTCTCTCGCTCTGCAGTTTGCAGCCGCTGAGCTCCGCCTGTGGGCACAATAGATTTGACACAAGAGTGCTGATGAATCTCATCAGTTTAATGTGTTTATGCTTGCTAAGCCCTAAAAGCTTATTGCTGTTCAATGGAGTGCTACAAAGTTACCTAATTTCCCCCCTGGTTGTCTCTCAGCACGCTGGCAACACAGACTCCCAATAACACGATGTACTCTGCAACCTGTGGAAGACAGAAGGCACGCTGTGTCTCAATGATTTGTGTTATCGGGCAGAGAATAGACCTTGACAGAAATACAGTGAGCACAGATATTACTGTTTTTTCCACCTTAAATTCAGCCCATGACTGTCTCTCTCCCTCCACATTGATCCCTTTTTACAGCCTTTTCACAGTAAGTGCTTTAGTCTTATCTTCGCTGCCCCCACCTCGGCTGTCTCATATTCTAACCAATGAGGCTGGCTGCCTATATGACAGCTAACACCCAGTATTAATTAAAATGTCATGCCTCCAAATCAATATTGTAAAACAGTTCAAACACAACTCATCGCCACTGCTGTGATAAGTGCTTTTGGGTGACAGGTAAGTCCAAAGAAAGAGATGCGGGAGAATGGTATGACGGAATAATCCAGAGAGAACATGTAACATTAAAATGTATGACCCCCCCTATGTGTTACTTCATCACTCACAATTGCAAATTATCCACACTGTCACGAAGTGTGCCGCGCTAAACTGACAGATCCATAAGTCAGCAGCAACAGGCCAGGAGGCTCGACGCGAGAACTCTTTAGCTTCAGATGTCTGACTGCAGTGCGTTAAAAGAGACTAATGCACACTCATTTGGGAAGGAGGCTGTCAGAGGGGGGATTTATCAGCGCTACTGAAATAGCTGCAATCCATCTGATTAGGTTCATGTGTTTAACGCTGCTCTGTTGGGACAAAAATACAGAAAAAGGAGGCAGGTTATTACCACTATTTTCAGTCCACAAGGTGTAGGCTTTTACCACAAAAAAGTTTCCATGAATAAAGTCAATAACACGGAGAACTACTTGCTCTTCTTTTTTCTTTTTTTGCAATATTCCAACCATTATGAGTGACAAATAGGGTTGATTCAAAACTTTGCGAGGCCGTACGTGCTCACACTTACTCATTGAAAGACATTGTTCAAAAGCAATGCTCGGGATATGGATAGAATGTGACAAATTCTGTCAGAGTAAATATGGTTTAATAAATGAATTAGCTTCATAAATAATGGCTGTAATGACATTTTAGGGGACAATAAGCCTAAGCGTTGTCAGGAAATAGTTGATGTATGAGTTTCATGCCTCAGCGGTTCCTCAAAATGAATAGGCTTGGGAAGATAGCAGGGGCCTGCAACCAGCCTATTTCCTCGAATTATCTACTTGTTGTCAATTTGCACAGTGGAATTACACATGCAAATTGAACTGCCTGCACAAACACCACTTGGAGATGATAAAAACAAATTAACAAAGGCTATAGAAGGAGGATTTATTTCACTGGCTAACCCAGGTCAAGCAATACATGTATTTTACAATTGTGTGTACCCAATTTTGGTGTAATTATATCAGCAAATTATTCTTTGTAATCTTATTATTTTTCCCCCAACCTTCTCCTTACACACATAATTAACTTCCTTCGTATCCTCGTGAAAAAAAGAAGAAAAATCAAGCTTGCCTCTGCATCCGAGTAACACAGTTTAATCTGATTTAGGGTTCATTCTCGTCACCTTTTACTGCAGCTGGGATCCAGAGGAAGGTGAGAGGTCAACAGTTTAGTGACACTGTTTAGTGTAAGCGCTTTGGTAAAGGAGCAGACAAATCTACATAGTGGAAGTCACAGTGTTAAAATATATATAATCACCCCTTCACATCATCCCTCATATTGGGGAAGGAAATTAAGAGTCCCCGGACCTCCACGTTTGCTATTAGATATCTCATTTACTTTGTACACACAGTGCTAATCTGCACTAATGAATTCTGCCACACCAAGCCAGATCGAGATGACTTAAAATTATTACCACTTGCACAGATATGCCTTTCCTCATTTGAGGCTCAATTTGGCTGGCTCGCAAAAACAGTCTGTCACAGTAAGATACTAATAATTAGGGTTTTAAGATGATTAGTTTATCTCTGTGCTCTTACAGTCCTGCCTCTTATCCACCATGGCCAAAAACTTAATAAGAGGCTCTAAGTTTTAAACAGCCAACTCCAAATTACCAAGAAATGATGGAAATAATGAACTGGAGCACATGCCAGGGAGAGAGAGACACAGAGAGAGACACACACACAGAGAGAGGTGGATGGTGGGAAAGCTGAGAGACATTAATTCAAGTGTGAAATAGAACACAAAGTCTAGTAATCAATAAGGAAATGATTCAGACCTGTAATGCCAAAAAATTGTTTAGTATTAACAGGGACTTTGTAACTGTCATTTACCTTCAGACGCCAGACGTGCTCATCAACTTGTCACGCAAGTAATTAAAAAGTCACGATTAATGCTGAGTGAGTGATACCAGTTAATGGTTGCATGTTTTAGAGGATGAGATAGAGATTTTTTTACATGATGACATTCAATATGGCGTAAACCCAATCTGCCCACTTTAATATGCACTGCGGTTTTGAAAAGATGAACTGTGTAAAGCTCTTATCTTAGGGTACGGGAAGGTCAAGGAGAGTGCAAGGTCTCCAGGTTTTTTTATTACATGTGGGTCTCAAGACAACTGAACCTCAACACTTTTTTGTTAGTGACGAATGTTTGTCAAAAGGCAGACGACAAACGTCTTATTTTCTTATTCTTCAATCAGGCAGTTTCTGATTTTAAGGCTGTAACTTATTATTATTGATTAATAAGTATAAGTTCCCAGTGGGCATGGGATGATAGGAACATTTCATGTCACGATTAAAATAACTGCGATACAATAATCATGAAAATATACTTCATACGTTTAAAATGTTACTAAAACGTACTGGAATCACTTTACATTACATTTAGTTAAGAAACACATTATCTTTCACAGATAATCTTAACTATTTCCACACGTCTGATTTAACCTTTTTTTGTGGTGGATACAGGCGAACTTTCATTTATGTTGACAGGCTTAAGATTTTGGAGTAACTGGAACGATGCAGGCTCTCCCCTTGTCCCCTTGTTCAAATTAAATCAGTAAATCAATACAGGACTGTATGCTAGAGAGCTAGACAGATTTTTTAAGTCAAACAATGTGAGGATATCCTGATTCACGATTATCACAATCAAGGAAATTCAGCACAATGAATTTATCCAAAGGTTTTCCATCGCGATAATATCGGATATTGTCCCATCCTGAGTCCAAAATGATGTCTTCAAATATCTAAATATTCTTTTATTTACAATGAAAGTAGAGAAAAGGAGACTAGAAGAATGTTTTTACTTCATAGACTGAACTAAATTAGTGATCAATTATTATAATTGTTGTCTATTAGCTGTCTGTCCGTGGTTTAATAATGTAATCTGCTTCAAATCCTAATTTTAGACTGTATTTTTATTGAGGAAAACTTGTTGTATAGCTGTGTAACCGTTGAGAAGTTTGCCCTCATTTGTTGAATGAAAAGAATAGTAAGTAATCAGAAAACATAAAGTTATTAGTAAGTATTAATTTGAAATCAGGTTAAACTCCCAGTCTTATAACACTGCTGCTGGTTTACCTGAAACACTTTAACTTCTTTCCCTTCCAGATACACCGTCCACCACACTGACCTTCCTATATATACATTGGTGTTATAGGTCTCCCTCTTTATTCTACATTTATATGGCACACAAAATGCAAGGCTATAATTTATGTAGATTATTGGCTTTGCAATAAGATGCAACCAAAAGAAAGCCTAATGTGAATGAGTGTGAAAGAGCAATTTAAGGGTAGATGTGCCTGTGCCAGTGCCAGGGGCTATACAAGATTTGCATGCTAATCATTCTAATAATAATGTAATGCCCAGAGCACTTTGAGCAAATTGCGAACCATTGGTCATAGAAGGAAGCTTATCTCGCCGAGAACATGACACAAATATAAGTTAACATTTGAATGATTCCTGGTAATTCAGGGACCTGTCAGTAGCCTGGCTCACCTCAATTAGAAATGCCCCACAACAAGCTTGCTCTTGACTTTACTTTACTGCTGAGACTAGCTGAGACTGCTTTAACTGCTTAAATGTTTCCCACGCGTCCACTTTGAGCTGTAAAAGTCACCATATCGGGTAAGTTTACGCCATAAAACTGCATAAATTAAGAAAAAACTACAACTACTAAACTAAAACTACAAACCGTGAACCAATAAGAGCCTTTGTCTCGTCCTCGTGCTCCGCTGCTCAGTCTTTGTAAGGAGAGCTCTGATTGGATCGTGTGATAAACGTTGCAAGCTAATCAGCCAATCGGGTGCTTTCCTACGGGATACGTCACAGTGTTTACCCGGAAAACGAGAGCTCGGTCCAACAAACTGCCCTCAACATCTACAATTTACCGATTTCTGTCACACATTACCGCCTAATCTGACCGCAAACAGGGGCGCAATGTACAGCGGACTCCTGCCCAAAGGTGTCACCGAGGACGACCTCAGCCCGGATGACCAAGAGGATGAGCAGGGGGATGGCGTTGACGGGAGGAAGGAGGAGGAGGAGGAGCAGAAGAAGTGTGAGGGCTCTGCTGAAAAGTTGAGCTCTGTCGGGGAGAAACAGTCGACTCACGCTGCCAGCGATGCAGACAGTGATTCCCCGACATGCGGTATACCTGGTATATCCCAGGAAATGTGGCAAGTATGTTGATTTGCTGTGCAGAGAGTTAAGCTTATAGCAGCTGCTGTCTGTAAGTGAGGGCTCATAATGGACAAACACACCTGACATTGACTCTTTCTGTTGAAAGCCCAGCCCTGAGCTACCAGACTGTGGTTACTGACAGGTTTTTGAGGCTCTGTTGGGCTATGTGTGTATCATCTAACGTAGGTCAAGAGTTGTGGTGTGAATTCAGCTTGTGTGTTTGTTTGTGTTTAAGAAATTCCAGGATCTACGCAAGAAGAACGACGAAATGAAGACAATGAAGGTCCCCAGGAAAAGAAAGAGAAGACGGCACAAGAAAGGTGTCAGTGATGATACGAGTATACCTAACTAACTAACTAATGTTTGTGTGCATTTTGCATTTTTCAAATCAGTCTTCATGACAAAAGGAGAGGAAAAGAAAAACTCAAAGTCTTACTAGGGCTGCACAATTAATTGAAATATTATCGAAAATGCAATATGGCACAGTGCAAGAAGCTGAAATTGTTTGATAAAAGGTCAAATGTGTGAAAAAACAGCATTATAATGAAGTATTACTGTGAAAAGATGCCCTGGCCTTCTCCTACATGTTTGTTTGGTACAGACCCCAAAAGACTAGCTGATGCTCATTGGTATCAAAGAGTCCTGCAAACCTTTAACTGTGTCTCTTATGTCATTCAGCAGGAGCAGAAAGTGAGGAACCTACACAGACAAGGTACCAAATTATAATGTTAACTAGCAAATGGGTTTATACAACAACATTATTCATATAATTCTTCCCATGCAACTGTGACAAATGTGTTGCCGAGAGTGTGCAATCCCAAAATAAAAAGCTTGTGAATGCAGCCAGCTCTCATTTGATGTCCGACCTTCACACTAGCTGGATTTCCAGTGGCACTAACTATCTATCCTCATACCATATAGACAGTAACAGAATCCACACCAGTTCTCCGCATCAACCAGTGTAACAGTAGGAAGTATGATGACTGTGCCAACATTATGCTTTGTGTTTTTTTACAGCCCTACGATGTCACCGTGTTGTGTGATACGCATTCATCCCGACATTTGGATCCGGTTTCAGCTCAGCGATTGAAACAGACTCCAGTTGTCGGATGGAGAATGATAGTTTGCCTTTTATCACAGTGCTGGTCTACATGTTATGAACATTAACGCACGCTTTCTCTGTCAGCAGAGAGCATCAGGAGGAGCGGGAGAAACACTGGGATGAGCTTAAGCAGTATTTTGGTGTAAATGATCGATTTCATCCCCCTGCATGTTCCAAACCCCCTCCGAAGGTAACAAAGACCCCTGCCTTCCAACTTATCTGCTGAGGTTTAATACTGTGTCAGTCGTAGCTGTTAGTAACACCTTCCCAGCCTTTGTGTTTCCGTGTCACTGTATCCACTCATTGTTTTATGTGATATGACATATGGATTAGAGGAATCTCTTACGGTAACTCAACCTGACACTGAGATGAATATTAAGGATTATGTTTGGCTACATTCAGTGATAAGATTAGGATGAATCTCTTTTCTTGTGCGGTTGAGATTAAAGTCAGATGTAGGTTTCTCAAGGAATGAAAATCTGAGTTTGGCTTCACAAAAGAAGAGAGGGTTAGAGTACCTGATACAACCTCTGTGATTGCAGCTGGAACATTTAAACTAATGGTTAGATAATAAATGGGCATGTACCACTGCTGTGGAATTTATCATTGAAGAAATTGTAACTTAACTTTCTTTCATTTGCGTACATGTCTGCACTTAATAAAGATGAATGAACATTTCATGCAAAGGCTTGCAAATTGCCAATGAAGCAAAATATTTGCAAGCTTGATGAACATTATAGCTGACCCAGTGAATGGGAACTGTTCCCATTTCAATTTGAAATCCTTATAATGATTATTTTGGAGTATTTTGTGCTTAATTTATCTCAGAGAAGCATAAAATTGAGTTTTTGCTGATTTTAGACCTCATTTTGAATAGGGCAACTATGAAAGGATAAAGGAAACGATTAACAAGCTGAATGAAACAGAACTTGTCACATCAACATAATGAGTGGCTCCTTCATCCCTCAAATGCAGTTCCTTGTAATTAATATATCATTTTTTTTTTTTTTGCCAAGTCTTTCACACAGTAATTTGAAGAAAAAGCTGTCATAGCAGCCAGATGTGATTAATTTATCTGCTAACAGAATTCTCTTGAGTGACCTTAAAAACACATTTCATGGCACAAAGGATGATGGTCTGTCAGTTTGAGTTTTGTTTGTGAGATACAAATGACGATAATTGAGATCACAAGTCGGGTTGTATCAGTTCCAGCTTCAGTTTCTATGCAGAATAATAAACTATATAAAGCAAAATCAAGACCAAGCAGCTAGAGAAAATTGTTTTTAATAATTCTGCCTTATGGTATTGTCACTGTACTTTTACTATTGAGTCAAGGTCCTCGCACAATACATCAGAGGGGACACGTTAATAATTATAGCCTCTTTCCAGTGTATTTTTTTAGCATGATGAAATTTTGGGGGCTGAAGAAATCTGGTGCTCTGCTTCCTCAGATAGGCTCATCACAGCAGAACTGCCTTGCCATCAGTAACCGGGGGCTTCTCAGCACCCCCTCTGCTTAGGCCTGTAATGGAAATGTGTAATTAAAGAGTCACATTTATGTTTGGTAATCTCCTGTAGCATTTCTAAGATTTCCCCACTAATATCCAATCAAAAAGGTTTTCATTTGTGAAGGGAAATCTACATATTTGTAGTAATGGCAATCATATTAAAAATAAGGCCCTGGGGACTTTTGAAGTTACTCTTTGATTTTTTTTTTTTTCCTCTCTCTCTACCCCTATTTCAAAAAGAAAAAAAAAATCTGAATTTTTTTCTCCCCCTCTTCTGCAGTCCGGCCTAGAAAAGAGCATAGAGAGGGCCATAGCTGAAGGGGACATTGCAAAGGCGGAGGAGATGAGCGACAGACTCGCCACTCGAGAGGTACGTTGTGCTGATAAGAGATCTTTGGGGTGCTCCTGCTGTGACAAATCAGGCTAATGGATCCGTGGCCATTTCTGCTGCAAAGACATAGAGGAACAAAAACACACGCAGACACCCACCATTCAGTCCTGCAGCTCTTTTCCATTGAGTTAATGGAAAGCCCTCCCCTTAGTTTTGAAGTGCTGCAGTGTCTAAAGGACTTTTGGCTCTGCTTTTTAATGAAGGGTACATTGCTTTCAAGCCAACTGTTAAATCATTCTCCAGGTAAGAGTTTCATACCTTTGAAGTGTACATGTCCCTAAATGCAGTGCCTGAAGTTTTGTAACTAACCGCCTTGGCAGGCATCAAGGATCAAGTGGTTTGAAACTAATTTAGCATAAAATGTAGCCCACACACACATATAATTGTGGTTAAAAAGACATACAGCTGCGGTGTTATTTCTCCACTGGGCGAATTGCTGTACTTTGAGCATCAAAGTTAAACTTCTTTGTTTCATGATGCATGTTGCTTACAGCATCCCATAAGCTTTTTCATCATGTACAGTAATGGTAGCAACACAAACATGTGTGGCACTGTGGGCTCAGATTTTATTGTCGGCCCTAGATTGCAATAGAGTTGCAAAGTAGGCGGAGCTGCTGGTTCAGGAAATATTTTCCCCCACTTTGAATTCCCATTTCAATGTTTTCTTTTAATGATATTCCCAACATAGAAGCACGTGAGTCTTCTGTATAATATACTGATCCTATAGGCTTATGTTATGCCACCAGATTTAATTAAACTTTGTTTCCAAGAAATCCTATTTTGCCTTTGTCAGTTTAGCATGGTGGACAGTACAATGCAATACCCATAAGCCTCTGTCACTGACGTTATAGAAAAAGAAGTCAGTCGTAGCAAATTCGAAGTGGTTCGTTGTTGCAGTTGTGAATAAAACACGGTGCTACAGCTGCTGACTTCTTTCCAAAACTGACCTATCTAAAGGTGCATTCACTTCACTTTCTGGCAGAGAGTTAGATGAGAAGATCAATTCCACTCATGTCTGTATGCTAAATATGAAGCTAGAGACAGCGGCCAGTTAGCTTAGCTTAGCGAAAAGACTGGAAACAGGAGAAATAGCAAGCCTCGCTCCACTGCCAAAAACCAAAATATAAAAACATCAGTTTGCTGTTTTAAAGGGGTTATGGGCCGGACTATGTGTTGATGGAGATCAGTAGATGTTTCTCACTGAAATTCACCATTGGGAGTTGTAGTCAGCGTCTCTTTGCATATTTATTTGTCCACAGACTTGAACCTTTTGACCTTGGTTTAAAGAACCAGATATTTATGGCACAGTTTTTGTCTTTTATGCCAGTGATTAATCCAGGTGGGTTTCACGCCCATCCAAGCCGTAAAAGGACTCCAGCTGTCAGTCACATCTGTAACCAGCGACACCAAGATAGCATTCTCTCAGAATCAGAATCAGAATCTTAAAAACTTTTTTTTTTTTTTTAATAGCAGCAAATAAATTAAAAATTTCAATGCAACCCCATTTTTCTGTACTTTCCGTTACAGATTGTGGCTGGTTTTTCATTTTCTTGAATAATTTATTTTTTTTTTTGGGTTAAAAAACATTCAAGTTCTTTGAGGTTTCAGATTTTTCTTGTACCGTCCTTATAGGTAGGGCAAATTTTAAACCCATTTTAATGGGCAAAACCCCACGTTTCTTTCTGCCAAACAAGCTTTTCCTTTCTTTCTTCTTTTTCTTAATCTTTTTTTTTTTTCTTTTCAATAATTTTATTTTTTGGAAAAAGTACGTTAATTTTTCTGTTGATTTTTGTGTGAATTTGAAATTAAATTTATATTTGTAATATTTGTATTTGATATTTATATAAATTTATAAAATGCCACCAAACTGCAAAAAAAACCAGGTCAAAAAAAACCAATTTCTCTTTTTTTTTTTCAATAAGGCGTAAAAAAACCTACCATTGGGCCCCAATAAAAA